TTCTTTTTTCTGGAGAATGTAGTTGCTCTAATTTTAATGGCACTAATATCATTAGCTATCATACTACCTTTGGTCCTAACTTTACCAGTGGTCCTTTTCAAGCTAAAATTGACCACTTTCAAATTTTTCTGTTGGTTTTTTCCTAATCCTCACTTCAAAATTTTGGCTGAGAGCAGCTGGTAACATCTATGCCACAATGTGGAGTATCATGAAGTTTCCTCCACCCCGAGTCTCTCGCAACATCTTAGGACATGGGCAAATTGTAAGTGGTAACTTTTTCCAGGATGAACCAAAATGTGTAATAGGTATTGTGAAATAGGAAAAAAATGTTCAAGTTGGGAGAGATACAAGGGAGGATGAAGGGGAAAGGAAAGAACAAAAAAGTAAAAAATGAGAAAAGAAGGAAAAATGAAACAAAGCTTTTGTAAACAAGGAAGAAAAGAGGGACTGAAGGGTGGGTAGGGACATGGGAAAAAAGAAAAATAAGTTATATCATGTACAGGTACAAATGCTCTATGATGAATGTAATCATCATGCATATCTAAAATGTACCAATAAAATCTCATTGGACACAAAAAAAAAAGAAAAAAGAATTTAATACACATGGCACCTAATCCAATTGCCAGGCGAGTCCTTGTACCCAGTTGAATTCTACTGAGCCTGGCCTTTACTGTCTGCATTTTTATCAGTGTTCTCATCTTTGGGGGCTTTCACAGAATTACCCATCAGACATTCCAGGATTTATCTAGAGTTCATATCCAAACATTTCCAAACACCTCACACAACCAATTTCCAAAGCATCTGAATTAAATGGTCAGGTATAGTTACAGCAACAAGTCTACCCTTGGTAATAATTTCCTGTATTACTCAACTTTCTCAATCCTGGGATGAATAATTTAGCAGTTTAGAGGAGGAAAGGTTCACTTGGACACCAGTATCAAGATGCAGTCCATGCTTATCTGGTTCCAAAGAAAGATTACCATGGTGCAAGGGCATGGCAAAACAAAACTTCTTAATTTACAGCGGCCTAAAAACAAAGCAGGGGAATAGTACAGAGAAGAAGGGGTTACGTAAAATAACCATGTTCACATTGCCATGACCCAGCCCGATCCAGAAGTGTGTTTTGCTAATCCCATGCTAACCAAGTTGACACAACTAATCAACCTTACATATTAAATTTACATTGAGTTTTTCTCCTTCCTCTTTTCTTCATCCTTCTTCTTTTATTTCTGCTTGTCTTTCTATTTCAACTAATAACACTAGGTGTGAGGTATTATGTTGTTTTGACTAATTAAAAATGTTGTAGACTGTGTCAATCCTGAGAAATGTGAGAGATTAGCCTTGTCCTGTGTCTGTTGCACATGTGGTGCATGTGGTCTTTTCTGATGCTGAAGTGTAAGGTTGTGCCTTAGGTAGAGCTCTCCCTGCTGCTGAGTGTGAGGACCATTGGTATTAATTTCTTGCACTTGGTATAAAGCATTCAGATAGAGAGCTCTTGAAACTCCTGCATAGCATGTATGTGGGATAATAGCCAGGACACAACACATTTTCCTGTTCTTAGAGGATAAAAATATCTAAGATGTATAGATATTCTTTCTTATTCTAGTATAGTTTAGAAGAACAAGTAAATGGAACATATGTGTTGAGAGGTTTGCTAGGTATCACTTGGAAAGAGAGCCCATCATTGGGAATTGCTCAGCTCTGATTTATCGCTATTAGTCTGGAAGTATGAGAAACATATCTGAGGCCTGGAAGTATAGCTACTGACCTACCTGTCATGTCTTTGCTATGGTTGTGAAGATGGAGAAAAAGATAAAATAATGAAAGGGGGTATTTAAAAATCACATTTAGGATATCTTTACATATCTTCCCAGGGAATTTCCAAATGCAGTGGCAGCCTGGATCGAAGAACAGCAGTCATAGGAGAGGAACCCAGAGACAGTGCTCAGGAGTGCAATGTTAGGTGCCCACCAAGGAGTGAGATGCTGCAGGGTATCGGCCCCAATCCTTTTCTCCTGCAAAGCTGTGGTTACTGCATACATTTGTTCATTACACACACACCACACCCAGAGCTATTTGTACATATTTTCATATGTTTTGCATTATAGTTTATTTAAAAACTGACAATTATGAAACACAAATGAATTATATTTTTATAACTCAGAAGTAATTATACAACTCAGAAATAATTTGTATAACTCAGAAAATTAGCATTTTTTGTATTTTAATATATTGCAATTATCTTGTATTTTGCTTATTTTTTAACCTAAAATTGTCATAGGCATTGCATATATATCTAAACTTTTTATACTTATCATTTTAGCTACAGTGTATTCAAAAATCTTTGGAAGGGTAGTTTCAGTGTTTAGCCATTCTTTTCCATATATGAGCGCTTTGATGTGTCTCCTTTCTCAGGTGTTTTTCATTTAAACATTTCCCCTTATTCTTTTCCTTCCTTCCTTCCTCCTGCCCATCTATGCATTTGTTCATTCATTTGTTCATTCATTCATTTATTCTTTTTGCTTTCTTTTAGATTCTTTGTTCTTATTTTAACTGGAACTCAATCAACACTTGATGCTATGGCTAGAGTTTTTTGGGGGTTGACAGGACTTATTTCATAAAATGTTAATGACTTTTAATTTTAGATGTTGAAGATCATCATGAAAGAGAGAAATTCATGATGATAACATCTCTGAAGAGGAATCCTCCAGTCAACTTTGTGTAGACACATAATTGAGCATGAGTGTGTGCATGTTAGTTTGTGTGTATGTGTATGCACACACATTTTTGTGTGCAAGTTTATACGTGTATATGTGTTCAAGGCCGTATGTACCTCTTTGAACATGAGATAGACTGGTGGTTTGGTAATGTCATTTAGTTGATAACTGAGCTTGAGACAGAGATGAGTATCTGCACTAAACTGAAGTCCTACCATGTATTCCCAGGGCAGCAGCACTAGTGACATGGCCTCATGGTTTGGATTCAATGGGACCTCAGGTGCTCTGAGGTCTGCCTTGAAAGGAAGGGGAGGAGGAGCCCTATGCCCGACCTGAGTGACTGTCCTAGAGACCTTTGCTCTGCACACTGTGTTCTCAGTCACTTATTGTGTGGGTGCCCACTGAACTCACAAAGGAGCGGCAGCAGCCCCTCCCCCACCTTGTGAAGCTGCAGAGCTGAGCAGGAAGCACAGCGTTTCCTGGAGCTCAGGTGGGAAAGTGAGGACCATGACAGGGACAGCAGAGGCACTGGACAGAGCAGCCAGGACAGGGTACTGCCTTGGTGGGCCTGGGAGGTTGTAAAGCTCCCATGTGAACTACACTGGAGAATCACAAAAAGCCTTTGGTTGTACTTTATCTTTTAAAAGCTTCTCCAAATGTACCATTTCATTTCTACCAGAGTTGAAGGAACAAGTTTCAAAGAAAAAAAATGAGTAATTGAGTCTTTCTTTCATTTAACTGAAAATACATTTTTACAGCTTAAAATTTTAATACAAATATGCTTCCTTTTCTGTGATTTAAAGAAAGTTTTGGCAGAAAACTAGTTTGCTCATATATTTAAGCAATGAAAAAATTGAATATATATTTACACGTGTACAAATCTCTAAATGGTAAATTGAAAAAAATCTGTATTCCATGTTTTTTACACTTCAGGAGACCACCCCAATCACTAGTGCAGACTAAGCTACACCCTAACCCTCAAAATTAGATTGCTACAGAAATCAATTCTATATTTAGTTATTAATTATTAACTATTTGATAGACAATAGTTTTTTCCTTAAGAGTAGTCTTTCCTTGTTTCTAATCAATTGATATATTTTTAAGAATTACGTGAAAATACAGTCAAAGCTTAGTATAGTATAAAGTCTTAGATCTACGTCAAATGCAGAGTTCCTGTTATTTTCTGCAGATTTTACCTTTAGATTTTCTTTAGATTTTACCTAAAGCAAAAGGAACACTTGTAATGCACTGTAATGTCTTTCTACGGTAAAACAATATTCTGATTTGCTTTTGATCTCTATTTCCTCTCAAGGCAACCTTTCTTTGACCTAACTGTCCCACTGAAGATAGGGTTTCAATTGCAGCTTGCAGAAATGGAACGTGAATTCCAGTGTCAGCTCGTGACTGCTTTGAAGGAGACAGTGTGGCCAGCAGGAGAGCTCTGCTAGGTCAGCTTGATGTGTGCTTACTGTTCTCACCATGTGTGTGACTGGTAGGGAAGGGGAAAAGGGGTGTGTCCTTTTCGGAAATATGTGGCTTAACATTTCACTTGGCCTTTTTGTTTTTGGTAGTGCTGGAGATTGAACCCAAGACTTGGTACATGTTGAGGCGAGAACTCTATCACTAAGCCACGTCCCCAGCCCTGCTCAGCCTTTCCGAGGATAAGATGCACAGAAACTTAATGGACTTCTGTTAGCAAGGTCCATGCCCAGGCACTAAGACACCGATATGATCTGGGTTCCTCTCCTGACCTGTTTCTCTCCACTACCTCCTGTCATCATGCTTATAGTACAGCACGGAAAGCCACCTCTGGCCATGGTTTACAGGTTTACAACAGGTCACGTGATGTCCAAAGTCCCTATAGGAAAAGCACAAGGGTGCATCACTTGCTTTGAGCAAGGAGTCTGCTCTACGGCGTTGGTGTCTGAATTGTCTAGTATTTCACAAGCATATACAGCTGACTCTGAAATCCTACTGATTTTTAGGTCAGTGTATTGTATATACAACACTAAAAGCAAATGGCATAAATAAACTTTCAAACTTCTTTGCATCACCAAAGATATAAGAAAATGCATTCCGTTCTATTATCATTTAGCAAAATTTCTATTTATACTCAGTGAGCTCAAACTTGTCCAGATTCTGTTTTCAGAGTACATGTTTTTAATGGATGAGACATGAAGTATTATATTCATATCTATACGTCTTCTCAATGAACTATACACAGAATACATTTTAGTTATTGAAATAATATTAAGCTGGCATTAATCTTTGCAAGAGGAGTCTGAAATCAGTTTCTTTAGCACTGAAAAACACTTACATAAATTTTCAGATTTTATAACATAAATAATTCCCTTACAGAAATATCACCTTGTATCCAGTAGTCCACTGCTGTGTTCAAGGGGAAAAGTTGTATGTTCTTAACCCAGCATACCCCTGAAGTATCAAAGCAAAACTACTACATTCAAACCACATTCAAATGTCAGCCTGGGCTTCTCATTGCCATAAGAGTAAAACTAGAGAACAACTTCCATATATGAATTTTAATGCGATTCAACATAAGCAGGTAAACCAGTTCATAAAACCTTTCTGTTGCTCAGTGATGTATCTGTTCAACCGCTGTGTTCCTTTGCCTCTTGTTTTGAGGATGTTTGTTCAGGCATATATAAATGAATATTCCTGTAAAACTATGGTCACAGCAATGATCCATGCTCTTCCACGTTCACAGTGAAGTCTTTCACTGGACTTTGAATTGCCAGACTGTGAGCTACTGGGTGCTGAGCCACTGGGTGCTGAGCGGCTGGATTGTATGCCTCTGGACACAGGACGGAATGTGGGGGGAGGCGGAGGCTCTTTACCACATCTTGGAAGAGCCGGCTGCCAAGTGCTGTTAGCCTCACACACAACCATATTGTGTCCTTGAAGGAAGAAGCCTTCGAGGCAGGCGAATGTGACCGTGCTTTTGTAGTAATGCTTTGCGCTGAAGCCTGATGTCTGTCTTCCATTTGGGACCGTTGGGTAGGGGCATTTGACCACCTTACACTCAGGGGGGTCACCACTCCACAGGTTTCTGCCAATGCAGTGAAGCTTGGCCTCCCCGATAAGTGAAAATGGATCGGGTCCAGTATTGCTATTGCAGGTATATGTGACAACATCAAGATATTCAAACTCCTCTTGGTCAGTTGAGTAGCCTCCATTTGTTATTTCCGGAGGTGGTTGACACAAAAGCTTCTGACATGATGGGTCTTCCTCACTCCACTCTACACTGGATCCCTTGACCAGACAATGGAGAGTTTCAGCTCCAACTAAGTAGAAACCGTTATTACAAACAAATTGAATTTGCGTTCCAAGCTCGTAACTTCCATTGAGGACGTTCACTTGCCCATTCAGTGGGTCCCTTGGAGTTGAACATGATCTTTTACGGCATGCATCACTGGAAATGGGTGGCCAATTATTGTCTGCACCACAAATAGTAAAGATGGTTTCAGAAACCACTTTCTGGTACCCTGGTTTGCACTTATACACCACTCGCTCCCCGACATCGTAGGTGAGTTTGGCGGGTCCAGAAATCTCCATGTTGGGAAATGTTGGAGGATCACCACAGGCAGCAAAGCTTGGAGAAGGCAGAAGGCCCAGGTCCAGCAGCAGGAACCAGAGGAAGGCCTGGGAGGGAAGGAGGCTGTCGTGGTGCTGGGGACACGCCATGAGCAGCAGGACCAGCAGAACCTGCGAACATGGCACAGGGCAGACCCTGCTGAGTGTGGGTATCACCGCCACAGTGCTGAGCTGAGGCTCAGGGAGGGCCTGGAGGATATAGCACGGATGGGTGTGGCCAGGCTCCGCCCAGGAGGATATCACAAGAGCAAGAGCAGGGTCAGGTACTGAGCCTGGGCCTGCATTGTTGATGTAACCTCTTGGGGGAGCTGAACTCACCCACCTGTGTGTGCTCCCTGCCTGCATCCTGGTGGTTCTCTTCAGCATGGAGCCCGGGATGAGACAGGACCAGGTGGCCCAGCAGGGTTTGCCTGGAACAGATCTCTGGGCAAATGGGTGTGGGCCAGCAGTGTGGTGGAAGAGCCCAGAGAGCCCGGTGAGGACCTGGAAAGCCTTTTTCTGTCCTATCCTTGTTTCTCCTTACGGCAAATTTTAAGAGCAGCAAAATAGCTTGCATTTTTTCATCAAGCAGTTATAGCTCAGCACATGGAAAAATGGTTTCCACTGCCCCCCGCCCCAGACTGTGCTCTCTCATTTACCTAACAGCGGTCAGATCAGCAGCCTGCCCATCGTCTCATCCTCCTGGGTGAGTTTTCTACTGCTCTGCACGTGCGGAGTCTGTTTACACCACCCAGCCAGCATCTCCAGGTCAATGATTTACAGACTCAAGTGGAAGCTGAGAGCACCCTTCTCCACGTGAGCCTGTCTCCTCATCCTGCACGTTTCCTGCACCGATTTATCTTGATGGCTCTCCTGGCTGTCCAGTCTCAGCAAATACTGCAGCCCTTTCGCATTTTCCACATCTAATGAGTCTTCTAGCTTTTCGTTCCAAAGTAAAATATGTTTCAAAGCTGTGTAACACATTGTGAGACAGTATTTTTTTTTTTTTTTTGACTCTGAACCCAGGTAATCTTTGGAAATTCTCCTGTTTCCTATCCCTTTCAGAACCTTTACTTGTATTGCCAGAGTTCCATGTTTATTTCAAAATGTCTCTATGTTGAGATCTGTTGTTAGCTTCTTTTGCCTCCCCCAGCTTGACTGAAATTTAACTGACAAAATCACTTATTTTTATATTTCAGGGTACACTGCGGTATAACTACCACGGTAGCATTATTACGATATGCGTTCCTCACAATGTTGCTTTATGGTTCTGCTGTTGATGATAATCACAAGGCCCTGCATCCCTGAAACTGAGCCCTGAACAGTGCCTCCTGGCTGTCCTCAGCCCCCTTCAGCACCATTTTACTCTGTGCTACGGGATTTTGCCTTGATTTTGAGGCAGCACAGTACTGCAAACGTGATTGCTCCCTTCACTGAAAGTTGAAAAATGTTTGTTTGTACTTGCGTGACATTGTTCTGTCCTTTCACCTCTCAGTCAACACTTAGAGACAGAATTACCGTTTCACATGGCAGTTCTGCTGTGAATTTTGAAGAACTTCATCACTGACTTTGGTAATGGTTTTAACATTTCACATTTCCACCAACAGAGAGCAGGGGCTTCCTCTGGCCCAATCCCACGCCAATGAGTTATCTTTCACCATTTTTATTAATGGCTGGTCTATCAGATGTAAGATGATATCTGTTACTTTGATTTGAACTTCCTTGATTGTTAGAGGAGGATTTTTCAAGTACTACTTGGATGCTTTTTGTATGTCTTATTTTTTAAAAACTTCTTTTGAGGCGTTTTACTCAAGTTTTATTTCTTTTTTGGTTTTTATTTGAAATTCCTTACATATTTTGGGTTTCAATCCCTCATTAAATATGTATGACTTGCAAATATTTCCTTTCTGTAACACAGGCTGTCTTTCCACACTATTTTTTCCTTTTCTCTTCCATAAATATTGGGTTTGAGGCCTTCATGTTTGTCTGTTTTTGCTGCCCATGATTTTATAAGCAAATTAAAAAAAGGCTCACTGAATCTACAGACATTTTATAATACATGGACATTTTACAATATTAATTCTTTAATCAGTGGACATGGGATATGTCTTGGCTACTTTCCTCTTGTGGCTGGGACGAAATACCCAAAACTCAATATTAAGGAAGGGGAGATTAGTTTAGCTTACATTTTGTGGAGGTTTCAGTCCATAATCAGCTGGCTTCAAGGCAGGGTGGCATGGCACAGGGGCAACAGTTCAAGGCAGCAGAAGACAGCAAAAGCAAGCAGAGAAAAAGAGGTGGTCCGTTTCCCCCTTGTACTGTAAGCAGCCTACCACTTCCTAGAGTGGGTGTAGTACTTACTGTATCTCTGTACCTTCTGCTCAGGCTCAGAATGTTTACTAAGAGAAGACTCTGGCCCCCTGCTGAGTCACTTTACTAGGCTTCTCAAGTTGACACAATGTATCAACTGTTACATTATACCCCTTAGCTTAGCAATCAGACACATTTCTTTAAAGAGGTTTCTAGATACAAAGACATGCTTATTCATGAACATTATAACACAGATTTACCAGTCCTTAAGTACCAGTATTAAATCTATCAACACTTTATTACATTAGAGCCATAACATTTTGTCCCTGACCTCCCCAAAGATTCAGGTACATTTCTTTATGCAAAAGTTTTGCACAGCGAAGGAGACAACCATGAGTATACCAATAACCTAAAGCGTAGAGTGAAATATTTGCAAAGTACTGATAAAGTACTGATATCATGAATGTATAAAAACTTCAAGATATTAGTAACAAATAAAACCAAATAACCGAATTTAAAATAGGCAACAGATGTAAATAATCATTTCTTAAGTGAGAATTGTCAATAGATACAGTATATGAAAAATGCTCATCTATAATCATGAGGAAAATGCAAATCACAACCACAGTGAGAAACCTCAGTGCCCCCCTAAGCATGGTTGTTATTAAAATGTCAAATAACAAGGGAGGGAAAGGAAGTGAGGAAAAGGGGACCTTTACACACCATTGGTGGGAAGTTGCTTTAGTACAGCCTCTGTGCAAAATATTGTGGGGATTCCTCAAGAAATCACCATCAGAGCTACCACATTACCTAGCAACTTCATTCGTGGGTACATATAGAAAGGAAGTGGAGTGACGTGCACATCTGTGTCCACTGTAGTGCTCCTCACAGCTGCTGAGAAATGGAAGCCACTGGCATGAGCAGCAACTGTTGAGTGGGCAAAGATATGCAAGGGAGTGTCAGCCAACCTTTGAAAAAAGTGAAACGCAGTCACTTACAAAAACACAGATGCAGCCAGAGATGACACAGAGAAAGGTTAACACAGAGAAAGAGTAGGACAGGAAAGGACTACGTGGTCTCACGCATACGGGAACCTCAATGCCCATCTCCCAGAAATAGAAAGGAGCAGCATGGTTATCAGAGTCTGTGAGAGTGGTGGGATGGGAGCTAAATAACAGGAATGAGAAGTTCTAGTGTGCAACTGCTTTGCAGCCTGGATGTAGGTAAAGCAACACACTGTGCACATCAGAAAGCTGGGAGGAAGGACTTGAATGTCTTTCTTTACCCTAAAGAAATGACAGATGTTTGAGGCGATAGGTGTGCTTAACCTCACAACCTGACTTAACTATTCTGCAATATGTGTTTGCACCAGTACCTGATGCCCAACCAACGTGCACAACTGTATGCTTTTATATATTAGTTAAAATAAATTTTATAAAGGAAAAGAGGAAAAATACATTTAGTAGAATTTAGCAGCACCGTCAGTAGGTCTTGGGCTGTTCTTTGGTGGACAGTTTGACACGTCCTACTTTTCTTTGGTTTCTACTTTTATTGATTTCTTCAGAATTCAATCTTGGAAGGTTATGTCCACTACTTTACCCACTTCTTGTAGGCTATTTGTTTTTGGTATATAAATGTTCAGAGTAGCCTCTTATGATTTTTGTGTTTCTCTTTAATCTCTTTTCATTTCTACTTTTGCTTGAACCATCTGTCTGTTTTTTCCTGCACTTTAACTCTTTCCACATTTTTGTGTTGCTAATAAAATTTATATCTTTTATGTTATGTGTCCATTATCACATTGTCATAGAAGTAAATATTTAAGCAGTTATTTACCCTTTCACTCAAGCTAGAGTTAAAAGAAATTTATTCACTATCATTACAATTTAGAATGTTCCTACTTTTGCCTCAAGATTTGTATTTGTATGCTTTCATGTTGCTTAGCATTATTTCATGTAAAATTGAGGAATTTCTCTTACTGTTTTTCTCTGGGATAGATCTATCTAGCCGTGACGAACTCCCCAGGTTTTGATTGAGAAAAATCTCATTTCTGCTTCCTAGCTAGGAACAGCGCTCCTGGTTGGCAATATTTGTTCTTTGAGTCCTTCAAAGATACCATTACATTCTCTCCAGGATGACGAGGTTTTTGCTTGGAAATTTGCTGATTGTCTGATGTTGGTTCTCTTTCATGTGACAAGAGACTTTCCTCTCCATTCTTCTAGAATTCTTCTTTTGTCTTTGTCTTTTGAGAATTTGCTTATAACATTTTTTGAGGAGGATTTATTTCCGTTATAGCTAGTTGAAATTCTCTGGGATTCATGGATCTAGGGTTTTTAATCCTCTGTAGTCTGGGTAAGTTTTTAATCATTAATTCTTTAAGTAATCATTAATTCTTTAAGTAAGCCTCCTGCCTTTCTTCTTTTTCTGTCTTTCTGGACTTTTTATAACATATGTGCATATTTGCTTGTTGGTATCCCACAAAAAATGACTTTTTCTTCCTTGTGTCACTCTTTCTTCTCTACACAAAGAAATGGGAAGCTTTTCTGGCCTTTGCAGGCTGAATTCACCAGGGAAAGCTCTTCCTCAGTCTCCATCTCTTAGAGCACTATGAGTGCGCCCTGGGGTCCTCAGCTGGGCAGACCTTCTAGTGGGGTCTACAGAGCATTCCTGGGTCCTGAGTCTGCATAGGCCAGTCTGGCACTGGGGTGGGCCCTAGACCTCTGTCTACCTGGGTCTTTGGGAATGAACCTGGTCCTAAACATGAAGGAGCCATGCTTGTTCTGGCATCCACTGGACTGGGTATGGTGTCTGACAGGGGTGAGGCCTGAGTGCTGGGAGCACATGGATGCTGTGGTCAGCCTGGATCCTGGGCTGCAGGGTCACCTGATGCTGGGACAGGCACAAGCTGAGCTTGGAGTGAAAGC